TACATAGTCCATACTTGTTTTATCTGCTGAAGATAACGGGAAGGTGTCGTTGATACGTTACTTCATCCGGAGAGGCGACGAGTATGTCGTCTGAATTCTTTTATTCCAGAAAACGAAGTTGACACCGCTGTGCACTGTATTCATGAATTACAGTTGTTTCTCGATAATCCGACAGGTATGGGACCAAAGGTGTGTCGGATTACAAAAAGTGTCCGGATTACCGAAAATAATTACATATTTCGCATTGTTTTGCTAGCAGTAACTTACAACTCTCCAACTGTTCGAACAGAACTGCTCACATAAAACACACGAAATGCGTGTCATCGAGTAAGAATTGGATGGGGAAATTCACATCGCGACATGCTTCTGTGCAAGCAGACACGTAACGGGGACGGGTACCTTGACGGGAGGTGCGTCGGACTACTGAACATGTCGGATTAAAAAACGTCGGACTATCGAGAGACAACTGTACTTAAAAGTTTGAGCTGCGTTTCGTATAGCTGAAAGTGTACGTCTACTTTTCTGTTTAAATTTTTTGTAGAAAAAAGACACGAACGATGTAATGGTGACTGTCTACTTTTTTAAATTTTTTGTAATACGAATACCGAATTTCTGTATTTTTTCTTCGGGCGGTGACTAAACTATCTCAGGATAGTGTTATCAGAAAGGAAATTTTATTATTTTCTTCGATATTTTTTTTATGTTATAACATTTATTTAACATTTAAAAGTTAAGAAAACAATTTATTAAAAGGACTTACTATCTTGGTTAATATACTGAAATTTCTTGTAAACTTTGTTAATAGATATCGCTACGTTACAATACGAACACAAGGGTTTTGCTTTTTGTAATAATAACTCAGATTTTCTCAAAGGGGGCAAAAGTAACAAATTGCCCTGGATTACAAAGAATTAAAGAACCCGTACAATATTCCTTTTTGTTTATTTTTTTACCTTAATACTGTGCGATCGTTCATTGGACGGGGAAACAGACGAAGTTCCTGGAACGAAGTATAGCCCTCCTCACCTAATATCTTACCTATTTAACGACTGTTCAGAATCACGGCCGCCGTGGGGAATCTCCTTTCTTAGTCTTTGTTCGCTTCGATAGTACTCTTTCGTAGTCTTTCTTTAATTCCAGCAATCAGTCATTCTTCGCAATCTACATAACTGAATATTTCGTTTATAAATTTGTACTTTATTGTGAAAAGGTATTGAAGTAAAGAAAGGTATCGACGTAGTATAAGGTATCGACGAAAAGAAAAAGCAAGACTTCACATGGAGCATCAAAATAGGGCAGTATATCTGATCTCGACTTCCATTCATCTAACTCCTTTCTCGAGATTAACGAAAAAGAGAGGAACAAACGGACAGACGACATTAGAAATTAATAAGTCTACAGTTTTTTCAAATTGCAGCCAAAAAGTTTATTGTAAAGGGGTCATTTTCTTATTTTATCCTGGCTATCTGCAGCTTTTCATTATTCTGTCGTAACTCCAATGATGACGCTGAAGACTTTGAACCATTATTATTTGAGCCTTTGAGATATTGAATGATCCTTTCTGCTGATTGTACTTTTATAACACGGCACTGTGTAACGTCACCACGTGAACGAGTCACACGGGCGTGATCCACCTCAGAGCATCGCTGTGTGGAGATTTCATTGCTACAGGGCCCCAAAATGTATTTTGCCTCAGATTTTCTATTCAGTGGGCTCCTCGATATTGATTGAATTTAGGGACTAGAGATTTTATTGTAAGAGAATTTCAAGTTAGACGTCTAAGTTATAAATTATGCAATATACTTTATATAATATAAATAAAATATTGATATGAATCTAGCTAAAATGAATGCACGTAGGTGAAATCTATTCAATTGGGACATAAATATGAGAGTATTTAGGTAGTCTCTAGCTTTACATACATAAAAACACGAAGACCAAACTTTTATGTATGTTTATGCTTTGTCTGTCTTACTACTGTTTTTCAATTACTCGAATTTTCACCATTTTTTTGCGGAATTTTAACGCGAATTTGCCCTTTTCCCCGATAAAAAAATAACAATAAATATCGCTTAGCAATCTACTACACGAATAATTATTAAATAATTAGTGATTTCTATTTTAATAACCAGATTTTAAAAATATTTTAAATAACATACTTATGTGAGATCCGAAAGGCCCTGGGTCCAATTTGTGAATTTTTATTAATTATGTAAATTAATGTCACCAAATAATACTTCGTTTTTGGTGAGAAAAATATTGTTTTAGACGTGGGAAAAACCAGATAACAGATGTTACTTCCTTCCACAGAAGAGAACATCCGCTGTTTTTCCCGTATCTGGTTAAAAATCTCGCTCAGATGGGAAATGGTTACCTCTCATTCATCCCCCTTTCATCCGTTCTCACGAAAGAGTTACTGTACGATGATTGGACGAAATTTTAAAATAAAAGGAGGAATTAGTCAGAATTCAGAGTTCAGCGACGGAGTTCTTCGACAGATCCGAAGCATACAAACTCCACATACGTTTCCCTCCTGATGGCCAACGCCCATAACGGAGTCCGATAGACTAAGTCCCGAGTCTACACTTAGAAGAAGTGATATTTTTATATTTTGTGCACGAATTGATCTCCCATACGATAGTAATATGAACCCTATCTACAAGGTGTCCTATATCTACAGAAACGAAGAAGACGACAACTAACAGGTCGTATGTTTAGAATAAATTTGTGAGCTCTCTCTCTCGAACGCGCATTAGCTTAGGTTAAGTCGTAACCTTTAGCTTGTCTTGTAATCGTTGTATTTGGTTATTTGTATTCGTTTGTTTGAGATTTATTAAATTATACTTATGTTTATTATACAAAAATGTCTCTTAATTGGGTGTCCGAACCAGATCGTAAACGCGTGTTAATCCGCGTATAATAAGTTTGATTAACTGGTGTCAAGGAATCCTGACGTAGGTCCGAATCTCTCGATTTAGATCATTATTAAAAGCCCTCCTATAAGAACTTTTAGGATCGGATCTTTCAATCTGAAACCTGGAGAACTAGTTTTACCAACTGGGTGCCGAATAAGTGGTACAAACAATCCCCCTCGGATTAGTACCCCCGGCTGATCTCACACTTATATTGATTCTGTTAAAACTTCACTTAAAATGTTTTCTTGTTAGGTTTACGTCTCATTCGGATCGTTTAGAAACCTCTGTATAATTCATAGGACATCAGTTCACTCGCTAACACGTGCGAAGTTCAAACGTCACTCGTAATTTCCCAGTGACGTTAGACGTACGATAATACCGCCTCCGTCGTTTTACAAACAATCGTAACTGCTACACTAATAACATCACTCCGAGTTTATAGAGAATAGAAAAGGTTACCTGTGTTAATCAATGAACACCAGCTTGATCGTCTCGTTTATAACAACAACAGACATCTGACACACCCTAGCACATTCATTCAACCTTGAGCGCGCGATTATTGCGTAATACACATAAAATAGATAAAGTAATGTTACTTGGTGCTATCTGTTGACGGACGTATATTACTTTCTCAAATTATTTACTTTATTTATCGAAACGAAAACATAAATTATAAATTTAGCGTTTAAACAACCATGCTTTTCGTTTTCCACCATCTTCAATAAGCACCTCGCAAGCACAATAAAATGAAAATAATAATTATAACAAAAGACAATTGTTAGTCGTTTGGCCGCTCTTTCGTTAGCCACTTTTCATTCGTATTCGTTTTCAAGTCTTAAAAATTGTTAAGAATGCAACAGACTTTAAGTAACACAGCGTTATTTGTTACAGGAAACGTTTTGTTTACATTAGTGTTTAAGAAACTATACAAATTTCATTTTCTTTTCCATTCACAAGAGGAACGAACAACTATTGAAAGTTATATTCTCACAAGGATAGTTTAATCGAACACTCACATCGTTTAACATTTTAGCTTACTCATTTCATTAATTGAAGCTTTGTCATTCAAAAATTAGACGATTCTTCTATGTAAAAACCTGATATATATCTCGAAAGTCTTATACATCATGACACATTTTTAATTCTGTTTTCGGGCTGACTGAAATTATAATATGATCTCGAAAATTTCGTATTGCTCCAATGAAATAATAAAACTCAAACTTATAAAACGTGTTTCTAGTGAAACTAATTCTGCGTTTTCACTTACATTCAATAATTTCAGCATGTCACGAGAGAAATTCAAATCGTGATTTACTTTCTTAAATCTGATCAATGGACGCCAGTAAGGCAACATCACGCCAACAAGAAAAATGTCCAAATTATTTGTGTTATTTTTATTAATCAAATTCAGAAGACGTGAAACAGGTTCTCTGATATCGTATTTATAATCCGAAAACGGTCTGTTGTCAAGTTGGAGGATAAAAAAAGTCTTCAAATTATTTGGAGAAGTACAATTGTTCAAGTAATTAATTGCGTAATTCTCAATTTTATCCGGTATCTCACGGAAAACGATGTACACTTCTTTAAATGCATACAGTTTCAACAGCTCTGTAAAATATTGATAAGTACCGGATTTCCAAAAACGAAATACCACATTGGAATGAAAACAAAATTGTTCCCAATTTGCTTTCAACTTGAGTGTTTTGTGAACTCGAAGCATATATTGAGGTGAGAACCTGTGTTCTTTTACGTATGTTAAAAGATTTTTGGCTAAAGGTTTATCCTTATAAAATCCCAATAGAAATAATAATTCCATTTCTGAAATATAACCAGGAAATGAAACATTTTCGATATACAGCAATAAAGCTGATAGAAATTCGAGAAACGTGTCATGCAGAAAACTATATTCAATTGTATTATCGCATTCAGAAAATGAATCAAGAACGAGAATGTCCAGTCCAATGATAAAATTGTATTCATCTTCTTTCGGAAATTGATTCCTCAAGAGTTCTGAGGCTAAATTTTCTTCTTTTACCAATTTTAGTAGCAAATTTTCTCCCACAAAATATTTTCCTCTTTTAAACTTTCTCTGCTAATTTGTTTTTCTAACATAACGTTCTGATATAAGAGTAAATATTCTGATGTATAAATCAGTCATCGTTTCAAGTTCTTCTATTTCTCCATTCTGATGAAGGCAACACAACATATGCAGCATCAGTGGACATTCTGATATTTTTTTGTAAAATCCGATTTCTTTCAGTGCACAATAGAGTTCCTTGGCTTTACTTTTGTGTTCTTTAAACATTATTCGAATGTATTTTTTTGATATTCTGGAGAAAATCCCTCTAACGAAAGTCGCATGTTCATGTCTTCCCTAATATCTTCAGCGGCTTGAGGTCGACTCGTAACCACAATAGTCATTTGATAAGTAATATGAAACGATTCTTCTCTTATAAATTTCAGAATTTTTGACTTTTCTACAATTTCATCTAACCCAATCTAATGTAATCTAACCTAATCTAACCTAATCTAATTGTCTGTCTTGAAATTTCCAATCTTTATTAATTGACAAGTATTCGTGCATATTATCGAGTAATGCATCCTTTACACTTTTATCGCCTAATTCTCGTAAAATTACAATAAAAGTTAAATCAAAGTGTTTGAGGTAATCAGTGGTTGCCCAATCGTACACAATTTTCTTGCACAAAGTAGATTTGCCATAACCGGGATCCCCCGTAACTAAAATAGTTTGGTGTCCGCCTTCTTGAATGGAAAACATCTCATTCAGGCTTATTTTCTCTCCGCTATTTTTTCCAAATAAATCTGCCTTCTCTACAGTCAATTCTACGAAATAATCTTTTAATGGAAAACTTTTTTTTTGCCCTCCCACAAAAAGGATCTCATGTAAGAAAAGTAAGTCTTGTATTTGTTTTTCAGCATCTGGCAACAACTATTCAACATTGCTGCAAGAAAAAAAAAAACATAATTAGTAAAATATCGTGTTGGTTATTTTCATTTTATTTTCGTATTGCGAATTATAAGAAACTTTCGGCCATATTTGTGGTATGATTTATGGTCGAATGCATCAAAGCATTAGTACTTACAGTGAGTCGTAAAGAGGTATTTATGTTAAACTAGGCACAGTACGTTTTATAACTGAAAAGGGAGTTATTTACGACTGTCATAAGAAAGAATTTTGAAAAGAATAATGCGATAGTTCTGGCTGCCGTTCTTGTATATACAGTATTTATGATGTACCAAGGTTCATCTTTTTCCAATAATGATTTAATACTATAGAATCCATTATATCAATGACAATACGTTAGTTGTGGGTCTGTCTTTCACAAAATTCAATTTCACAATTCTATATTAATAACAACTGGACGCTACTTTAACAGTTTTTTTTAAGTTACAACAAATACTTTTAATATTAAAAAGTAGATTAAAATTGATTTTTATATAGTAACAAGACTTTATGTAAAAATTAGAGAAAGATGCCGAATGTATATGTTATTACCTATAAGGAACAAACATGGAAATTTAACTGATCTCTATACTTAAAATTTAATTTACAAATGTACAAATGTAAATTACAAATGTAAAACAAATGTATATATATATTTAAGCCGTTTATATATTTAATTTACAAAGTAGAAAAAAATCTGTTTAAAACAATGGAAAGCTTTCCAGTGAATCTTATTAAACAGAACTTTATCAAGCTTTTTCTAATTAAATTAAGCAGAAAATTTAACTGCATTCTATTATTTTTATTTAAAAATATTTTATGCTAATTTGTAAGATATCAATTATCATTTTAAATAATTTTAAACAATGCAAATTACAACTTTTGTTTAATATAAATTCTGTATAAAGAACTTTATGTATTTAAAAAATTTACGTAATATTTAACATAAAACTTAATATTGATAAAGGTAAATATAAAATATTCCTTGTCGGCACACAAAAACACAGAAACGACAATTACAATGGTTTTATTTCGAACGTTGACTGTAAAAACACACACTTACCATCTCTTTCTTTGTCTTCTTTCTTTGAGGAACTTGCTTTCGATTCTGACAAATGAAATTCAATTTTTGACCCAACGTGAAGTTGATTACAGTTCTTCACTGAAATTAATAGGCAATTTAATATTATTTTTTCCGAATTATAATTGTACGCCGTAATTCAATAACAGTTATATAATCATAAATGTAATGTGTGTAAATCTATTTATTTTTAATAATTTCCAGGCTAACGGAAATCCTCATACACTTCTGGTTATCTCTGTGTAAAATACAATACTGTAGAGCGTCGATTTTCCGAATCAATTGGGGACTGGGGTTGTTCGTATAACTGATATTTCGGATAACCGATTTGTGTACGAAAAAATAGTTTAACGTATTCGATGTTGAAATTTTTCTCCGTTGAGTGTCGCTTCGCGTTAAATTTTCGTCGATGTTAAGCCTAACAAAGACTATTGTATCGTTAAAAATTATTTTTTTATTTTGTACAAACAAAATAAATATATTGAAAAATATAAAAACAATAAAAAATTATACTTCAGATGTTAACTTAGTATCAAAAACGTAAAATATTTGAGTAGCCGAAGACATAGCCAAAGATTGAAGTGCCACAGCACTGGCGAAAATTTAAATTTGCCGACTGGAATTCTTTCGGATGATTGACGTTTCGGATGATTGAATTTCGGAAAATCGACGCTCTACTGTAATTTAATGAGAGTAAATTATTGTCTTTTAACATTCAACGCGATTTTCCTAGATTTTCTTATTTTATTTATTAAATAACGCATACAAAACCGTTTACCGTTTACAAGTTCCTTAAACATATTTTCATTTTGCGTCACGCCATAAATTGCCTGTAATTAAATATTATATTAATTACAATCATTAAACTACTCTAAAGTGCAGTTTATACGAAGTAAAATTAACAAGATAAAGTATATTTAATATTAAAGCACCACTATAATGTTTCGAGGGCACTCAATTTGATTGCGATTTAGTGAAACTCTTCACTATCACTTTACTGTTCTATTGTGGTGGGTATCAATATACTAATATGCTACGTTGGAAACTTAAATATAATTATACTTGAGTAATCTCTTTTGCAAGCGTAACATGATAACTGTTACTGTTTGAAATTACAGCAATCAATTTTTCAGATAAACAATTAAAAATTAGGTATATGCCAACTCTATTCTTAGTTTATTTTCTTAATTTGCAGCAAATTAAATGTCATAAAACAATAATTCATAATTTAGATTAAAATAAAATTTATTTTGAACTTACTTCAGCAACTTCTATGGAATTAACAGGAGAAACGACGACACTCTTCTCCTCACTTGAAGCATGTGCTTCTGCCATTTCTTTAATTCAAATTTAATAATTTAAATATAACATAAATTTGGCAAATTTCTTCCTTTTACTTAAATCTTATTAAAAGTACGGTGTTCGAGTAAGCAGATAAACTATTTACCTTATATATAACACTTGAATATAACTCTATGCCTATAGATTTTCAGATACAGGATACTTTAGTAGTCGAGTCCTTCTGTATCGATAAACATAAATAAATTATAAATACGATACTATTATTATTGTCTGTATAATATGTATATATCTATATGATAAGTAATTCTTATGTGAAAGATATCTACACAAAAACTTATGTAATAACTCTTGTAAATTGACACTTGAGAGTATATCTGCATACGTAATGCTTATTTATATTTGCAAAACGTTTAAAGAAACTACACTTCGAAAATTACGTTTGGTAAGTGTGCATCATAAAATTAATATTTTGCGTCAAGAACTTCCTGCCTTGTCGAGGCTTCCAGCTTTTACTGAAGCCATATTATTGTTGACATATATGAACCCAATAATAGCCAATTAAGTTGTAATCGTGTAATTACCTACACTTACCACTGACAAAATTCAGCAAGAGAAAGGAAATGATTTGATCTATTACAGTTTTCCTGAAAAATGTGGTCTGTCCAATTATATACGAACTTAAGAGGAACAATACAAATAATTCAATGTGTTCGAGAATTTTGCAGAACACGCAACTCCGAGAGCCTACTCAGCTTAAACACGACATGAAGTTTTACTGACTTGTACTGAAACTTGTAAATTTTTCCTGTATAATCGATATTATATTTGATAGAAACTGCTTGGATCCAACTCATCTCCGACTGTCTGTCTGTCTCTTTCTTTTCCCCGTTTTTATTATATCCTCTGTTTTAAATTTCGAAGGATTGTTTAGTGTTATTTTATTTTTTAAAATTGATAATTAGAATAAATAGAGATAAATAAAAACGTCACTTTAGCGCATTCATAAGCACCCACATTATTAAATTTCACACTTGGTTATATTTACCGAGTTTCGGAATGAAAAGAACGTTGGGATAAAGCCACCTCTCGAATTACTATTATTAAAATCTATTGTGACCGGACTTATGTATGTCTTCAAATTATCATTCTTCTGCCTTAAATACAAGTAAATAAAATGCGAGTTGTCAGATACGAGGAAAAACTTCAGTCCGTCGAGTGTAAAAAAATCTTTTTAGCTGTGTTATCATATTTTATTTCGTATTGATTTTTATTTTTATATACACCATTTAAGTTTCAAATCAATACTTAGAAAAGAACAAAATTTATGTATATAGGGTATATTATATAAACACACAGCATAGCATATAACAATGGCAGAACTACACTAGAAAAATGTAGCGTTTTAATCTCAATTCAGCTTACATAAATTTATTTTTGAACTATTTTTAAATTTTTGAACTCAATTTTTGAACTATAAAAAAACATTTCAATTTTGAAAATAGGGATGGGTTCCGTAAAAATTGTAAATGCTCATAACGAGTAAAGTCATTAAGTCCAGATATCACACGCGACTTTGCTTTATCTCTCCACATTATCGAGCTTTAATCACCAAAATTTAACAGCATAAATCCCCCTAATACGCAAACGTCCGTGCATAATTACAGAAGTTTTCAACAAAAATCAGGAATTATTAAGCTTCATACAGAAGAGTTTTCACACAAACACGAACGTTCATACACGCAGAAAAACAGCCCAAATATTTTTACATTTGTCGACCTTTCCAGGTGTCCTAAGTCCAAAAATATAGAACAATTGATGGGTCATTTTTTGATCGATTGCAGTACTTTCCCTCTGTTATGTATAAAGCCGGATGCACACGTGCGGCGCGGCAAGGAAAAGCGACAGAATGAAGTCACTTTTTCTCGCCGAGAAGTCGATTTTGTGCCGCTTTTCTCGTGTCGCAAAAGTTGGTTGAATTCTATCTTTTGTGGCCACCGCTGCCAAGACGCGTATTTTTCAGCCAATAACAGTTCGTCCGGTAGTCACGTGAAAAAATACAATCACGTGGTGTTATAATGGCGGAAAGTTCGACGCGGAACATCAGAATAAAGAGGAAAGAATAATAAATTTAACACAAATTCTACACAAATAATCATATATTTTTTAATTCAAAGAACAAAACAACCGAATCTTAGTCGAAATAGTATTCCTTATCAAGAGATTTTAATCGAAAAACAAGCTTATTTTGTACAGTAGGCTACATCAGTTCTTTATCGATCCAACAAAATATCTTGCCGAGATTCTTGCCAATATAATATCTCTAATCCAAAATCTTCATTCGAATTTTCGACAAATGCTTTTAGCTAAGTAAAACAAGCCGTACAAAACAAAATTTGTAAACACGTGGGTATCGGCAGTGTCGATATCGTTCGCCATCTTGAATATTGAACGGATGCGCCGAAATGTAAACGGATTGCCGCTTGTGTGGTTGCGCTGCCGCGCGGCGAAGACGCGTTTGCAGCACCGCTTTTCCTTGCCGCGCCACAAGTGTGATTCCTCCTTAACAGAGTCGGAGAAGTACTGCTCGTTGTCCTCGGTGTGATCACAATGAGAGTATCTGTTACATATTTTTTGAGTGCCACATCGCTGAGCAAACTTGGCACTGGGTAGATAAAATTTTTAGTAGGCCTATATGTATCTCCTGGCAAAACGTAAACTTCCTCTCTGATTTCCCTGTTGAAAACCAAAATAATTACTTAATTAATTGTGTTATTGCTTTGACCAAGAGGGTCATTTGAAAAGCGAGATGCGCCCTCATTTTTGAAAATAAGAAAGGGAATGCAATTATTGTAATAAATAAAATTTGTGATGAGGCTAACTTCAATTTAAAAGTTGACCATGAGAACTTTTCTTACAGGGAACACAACGCGCTATACTTTGGCACTGAAAATATTATATAGAAAAATGCTAATAATAAATTTGTATTTAATGATCAGCGGCAATAAAACCACTTCTGATTCGACTGTAATTGTAATCACCTACGCCTTTGTATGTAAAAGTAAAAACTTTTATTGTAACTGTTTACTCATAAAATTATTTCTATATAATTATGTAATCTTTGTATCGACTGTATTTTATAATATCTCGTAATTGTACAGTTTTTATATGAATTTTCTGTAATTATAAGTGCCAATGTTTGTAAAATGTAAAAGCCGAAATATTAATACTGTAAATAGTTTATTTATAACTTACACAAAATCTATACTCAGTATAGAAATATTATTTAACTTTTTAATTTTGTTTTTTATCTGCGCTTGTTCTGTATACTTTTCTCTCATAATACCCACCTTGTATATAATTGTTTATATCTTACTACTGTAAATATTCTCGGCTATTATGGCCATGTCGTAATTTTATTGTCTTCTTATTAATTATTTAATTAATGTATACATCATCAGAAACAATGTACAAGGTTTCCTGCTGCTTAGCATGTTGCTGATTTGTAACAAGTAATAGTTCTGAATAAACTTTAAATTAACCAGTAAAAATTACTGATCTGAGCAGAAAACAAATAAGTATACGCCACAAAATACAGCAGTTAATTATTTTATTCTTAATGTTTTGACTTTTATAGTCATGCTTTAGTGCTTATTCTATAATTACGTCATAAATACTTAAACACACACTTACATTTTATGCTTTTTCGGCAAGTAAAATACGCGTGGATTACTGTAAACTTTTACTGCCAACTTTCCTCATTGTAATATGAGAAATAGCAATTTTAAATAATCGCAGATATTAGAAAGATTTTTAAATGTTTCATTACACAAGTATACAATATTTCATACCAATGCGCAATAAATTCTTTATCTTCGGAAAATTTAACTGATAAGCTTATTAATCATTAATTTCTGATAATCTATTTGTAGGAGAAGGCAGAGCGTAGCAAATATGCACATTTTTGTGAAAATAATTATACGTGGTATAAATTATTGCTGCGATTTAATAATAATGTGATCAGGCTGTGACTTATGACGAGGATTTTAATACACATAATGTCCTTTAGATTGTGATATCATAAATACAGATATTTTATACATTTAGGAATAAACGTTCTACTCTGTATTGTTGACATCCTGAACTTTATTTGAACTTCGGTGAAATTTTGAAACCTGCTTACTACAATCAGCAAAAGTGTAAAAAATTAAAGTTATCGCATTATCGCATTCGTTAGTTCCGATTTTCCCTTATTCTTCGAAATATATACACACACACATATATATATATACATATATATTATAATAATAGATTCACTATAACCGTACAATATTATATAACTTATATTTTGTATTAACATTTCGTACAATTAACCATTATGGAGTATTGAATGTATGTATCGACTCATTCAAGTACTGCGTGACTGCATCGACGTCATCGCTAAATTCAGTGATATCACTTCGCCATATTGAAAGTATCTTCGATTAAAAAATAAATAACAGCAGTTATTCTGTAATCGGTATCGTCGCATAGTGACTAAAAGGTATACCTGTATTAATTACTTTCTTTCTGTCAAGCGGTTGGCCATGTGGTCCTAACCGTAGCAACAGCAGACCTACACTACACCCAGGCATCAAAGAAGGTACTTTTATGCAACTTTTAAAACAGAAGTAAATTTTAATTTTAAAATGTTTCACAGTTAATTGCTGTTATCTCTGGTCAAAGTTCTCTAAGGATATAATCCGATAATAGTAAATAAGCTTTAAGCATAATAAAATGTTAATTTTCTCTATCGGTTTCATATTGATAAAAGTGTTTTCAATCAGTCTTTTCATTGTTCACATTAACGTAAACTTATAAAACTAATTTTTCTAATAAAGTACTGATACTTTTATCAAAATACACCTTACTTTATTATTTCATTTTAACATTGTATTCAGTAACGAAATAGAATTTTGAGATCTTTCTGGAAACATTTTCAGGTATTTCACTAATCCATGAATTCTGTGACATCACTTTACGATAATCAGGTGTCAGTTTTCTGATTTAATGTGGCAAATATAAAATAAAAGTGTAAACACTGTAACGTTATATAATTTGAGTAGTTAGTTAATTGTTTAGCAGGGTTTAGGAGTTGGAAGTTGAAATTTGGTACACAGTTAGGGTACATCATGCGAATAACACATTAACAAACAATTTTTGTACATTTTCGTAAGGAATCTTGTCAACGTTTCTTTTTCTTTTTTCTTAATGTTACCTTTGTCATTCCTTAAAATTGTAAATAGATTCGGAGTTCTTTTCGGAACCATTCTTGACTCGTTGTGGCCCACAATTTCTTTCGCAATGCCTTTCGTATTTCTGTTGTTTGTAAACTTTGTGACGTTACTTGGATCATGTTTGAAGTCGTTGCTGTGCCCATCTCGTGTCTTCTAATCATTCCTGTTATTGTGCCATCAACTGCTTCTTGTGTTCTTTTCCATGGTCGAACAACTCTGACAACACTTTGTCTGTCAGTTGAGGTCTTGTTTGCTCGTACTGGTTTGGTTTTCTCCCTTGACTCGGAAGGCTCTTGGAAGCTTACACCTCTTCTGTCTAGAAGTGTTATTGTTTCGTCCGCCATATTTATTCCTAACCTTAAATCTGTAATTATATCTCTTCCTATTAAGCCATCGAATGGATACGTGATTCGATCATTGACGCTGTAGCATGTGTAGAAAAATCGTAGAGGGCCTATTTTGAATCGGAATTCACTTTTTCCATATGGATGGATTTTGTGTCCGTAAGCTCTGTGAGGTTTTCCTATTTTCTGCGCTAGTGCCCTTTGATGACAGCGTCACTTTCGAGCCTGTGTCTATTGCTAATTTTGTTTTTGCCTCGTTAATTTGACAGTACAATGTAGGCTCCTTATCTTGAGCTTTGTCTTTAAAATAATTTGTTGTTTCTCTGAATCTGGATATTTTGATCTCGTATGACTTTTGTCTGTTTCGCCTAGAGCTTTTTTATTTTCTCGCCAGTTTCTATTGTTCTTCCTTTCATACCGTGTATCTAGGGTGGAGTTTTGTGATGTTCGAGTTCGCCAATTTGTTTGTCAGCCGTTTGTTCTAATCCGTGTTTTATTTCGAAACGTGTTTTTTTTTGAGTTTGCACGCCGCCTACTATGTTTCTTGAGTCATTTTGTTGATCCCTAAATCTGTTTCTAACATTTTGATATCGATTTTCTTGAGTAAATAAAGGATTTCTATATCTAGGTTCGTCTCTCTGACTTTTGTGACTCTTTGATTTGTCCTCCTTCCTACATCTCTCCGCTTTCGTCTACTTAACTATCTTCTCGGGATTAAGGAAGGACAGGGAAACAGACATACAACAGTGGAAATTTATAAATATATAATTATTTCAAATTACAGCCCAATGAAAAAGTTCTGGCTTCGAGTTGAGTAACATTTCGGCTACAGAATTTAAAAATGGTGTGGAGTCATCTGTTATAATACGAGCGAATGAAATGAATAATTCTTACTTCTTTTGACACTAGAATTAAACCCAAATATAATTAGATATGATCTGACTCTGACGCAAAATCAGAAATACCCATTTTAAAATGAGCAGTATTTTGTATAGTATAATTTATAGGAGATAGACACTAAAAATAGAACACTGTAAAAAGAATAAGAAATTGTATAAATTTTAAAATATTGACGAATAAACACATTAATATAAAACAAATTTTTATTACTAATATATAATAAAATTTTAATTAAATCTTTTAATAAAATTTTATAATAAAAATGAAATAGATGACTAACGAATTAGAAATGGAAGTTACATATTTTAGATATTTCCAATAATATTTAACTTATAACTTCAATAAAATTTTGTTTAATGGACAGATAAAGAGTTGAGAATAGCAAGCAAAAAGAACCTTATGTGATTTAATTAACAACCTCACCATCAAAGTGAAAATAATTTCTTCATTATGTATGCAATTAATGTTTATTGTTACAGTTATGGCACGAAAATAATGTAAATATCGAACATTCTTTCTTTTATTCTTTCAAGAAACATTACATACAATTTAAGAGTGTTAGGGGAGAGAAAAACAGAAGAAAGATTCAAGAAGTGTGCGTTTAATAGGCTGACCGCGTGGAGTTTTTTTTCGGTAGCTATCTTCACGACAGTACATTCATAATTGAAATGTATTACATGACACTACTACCAATTAAACTATGCAAATTTAACAAAACTGATGGATAAAAATTACATGAAATTGAGTTGTATAATAAATGAGAGAAGGAAACTGTATTATAGAATTGTAGAGACCTGAGAATAGCAAATTAGAAATATAGAGAAAAATTACCAAAGACACCGAAACAATCAATTTTAACAATAAAAAAATGTAATGATTTAATACGTTATTTGTACAACAATATAACATAAAAATAAAATTAGAAACAAGTAGAAATTGAATAAATATTCGAAACGAAACTAATGAAATACGGGGTTTCGGTAAAAAAAAAAAAACAATGCAATCTTTCGAGATAATTTAAAAACGCAAGTATTCCTCGTACAGTACATCATCACAGTTAGGAAAACTTTTTCGGATATATGAAGCCTATTATCTACAGTATTGGTCTTGCGAGTTAAAACTGTTATACTACGTTCGCACACAATCCAGGAGTCGCTTCGATCTCGATTTACCTACAATCTGGATTGTGACTGTCGCTAGTCGAACGTCGTGCTGTTCGCACAGGCAGTCTGCTTGAGAAGAACCTGGCTATTACACGCGATCATAAAACTGACGTAACTACGCGGTAAGTCACAAACACCAAGAAACAAAATGGAAGTTTTGGTTAGAAATAAATACTTTTTCTTGCCATACATATAATAATAGACAGATGTCATCGTCTCTCCAGATGTCTTTTTTATTTCTCTGTCGATAGCACGACACGTGTTCCGCACCCATCTTGTATTTTCACGCGCGAGTGGGATTGTGGGATCTCTGTTATGACTGGATCTAGTTTCGAGAACTCTCTCCAGTCGATCGTAATTGAACCTCGTTTCAGTCGAGATTGAAACGGCCGAGAGCGTTCGCACCACGGAACACTCGGTGCTCGGTGCGAACGGGGTATTAGTTCTGATGACCGTGGTGTAAATAGCTTTTGACTGTGCGTGACTCTTCTTTTGTTTTAATTTCTTCCACTCCTACTGTAATTCTGCTTTCTTCACAGACCTGGATTGATAAACAAGCATAAATTGTATTTAAAAGTTGATCACATGTTGTAAATTAGTATAAGGACATTGCATAAATCATGCAGCAGACACAACATTATTTAAAAGTTATGTTTGAAAAATTAACAGAAACCTATTATTAAGTTTCATTGCTAAGAACAGAAACATACACCTTTAAACGTTTAACACCTGATACTTGATTTTGATTGCTATTTGCAAAAAGTGTTTGGACAGCATCGGGTCTTAACTTTCTTTTCCCATCCACTCTATTATCTTCAAATTGATCCTTGGTAAAATGGATCTACATTAAATTGATAATAAAATAAGGAATTAAAATACCTTAACTGAAATATTCTTCTTCTCAAAACATTAAAATATCAAACTTTTCATAGATAAAAATTCTCCAGCTTTATGAAGCATCTTTACAGTAAACATGGGCTGACAAATCTTTGATTACAAATTAATCCCTTAGTTCCCGATCAATTTTTAATTAATTATAATTAAACATAAAAATACTTAAAAGTGAAAAAAAACTAAAGAAACCTGTTAATTTTGAAGGAAAATCTTCAAAGTTTAACTTCCTTTGTCTGGCCTTTCTGTGAAATTTATCGATGACTC